GTAGAGAGACCACTAGGGCCCCTGCAGGCTCCTCATCCTTGCCTCCTGCAAGCTGTAAGTTGGTCTCTAGCTGCGTTAGCTCCTCCTGAGCTGTTTTATAAGGGGTTTAGGGTTTAGGGTTTAGGGTTTTATAAGGGAGCTGTGAAGGCCACCCTACATCTGAGGATTCTTTGGAAGGAGCCTTAATCCGTATGTAGCCCTGATAAAGCCTATGTACCCATAGTCCTAGTTAGTCCCCATGTTCACGTCCCCATAAGCTACGAGGGTCCCCAATAAAAGGTCCCACCTCAAGCCCGATACATAATTTTCGGGAAGGTTCCGCAGACCCAGTGGATTGGAATCCCTCCGCACATGATACAGTAAACCCCACCAACATCCATAATCTGCTATCGCCACTGAATCAGAACCCCACGATCCCTATCCCTCCTGCTTCTTCTGCAGCTTCTCTTCCAACGCCTGCTGCTGCGCAGCTTCCTTTGCTAGTTCTGCTCTGTTTTCTGGCGAGCCGCCTGTGGAGTCCTGAAAGGGAATGAGGAAGCCTTCAGTTGGGAGGGGAAAATGGAACGACTGTAGGGGTTATAGGGGGGCTTTCTGCCGATTCAGTAATGTAGCAACATTGTTCTGAAAATTTTTTCGCGCCCCATCAATTTCAAAGGGTCACTATGCTCAGAGCTCCAAGGGTTTTTGCATTCTCTGACCATGAGGGCCCCCTAAACCCTCAACCCTAGTCCAGTGTTCACAACCCCTCCCGCTCTGCCAACATTCCACAACTGATGCCTCTACAGAGCCTTACACACACTTCCAAAATGTGATCCAAACATTTTGACCCTGAATGCAAAAACCTGAAACCTAAAGCCCGAACCCCCCCAACCCTGAACCCTGAATCCAACACCGTGATTGTTGTATGTCCCCATATAAACCCTCTGTGCCCTCTAGCATCTCTATAGCCCCATTATCATGAGCCCAAGGTCCAGCAAGACATCCAAGGCTGCCAGCTGTCTCTGCCTCAGCTGCCTTACCTCCTCGGGCATGTCTTCGGTGTTTTGAAGCTCCTGACAAGTTGCTCTCCTTTGACCTTTTTAAGAGATGCTGTAAGGGTAGCCCCAAGAAAAGAAATCTACAGCACCAAGACAACTAGAGACTGCAACGCATGTGCAAACTTTCTTGGGTTTTGCATAGAGATTATGATTCGTTGCGAACGGCTCCTGAATGCTGCAGGTAAAGCTATAGCAAACAGCGCCAGTCACTACGGGTTTGCGCGATAGGGATCCTTGACTTGGGCAAGATTGACAAGGATTGAGTTGTCTTACCTCCTGGAGTTGCCCCTCCTACAGAACGAGAAGTGAAGGCTCCTCCTTTCGATGAAGTAGCCACTGGAGCGACTGGAGATGCAGCTCGTGCTTGTCCACAGCGTCCTGCACCTTCGCAGGGCGTGTAGCTTCCATCTTATTCTCCAGCATCCCTATATGAACCCCATATAATCCGTTAATATAGGTAATAATCACCTAACCTCCCCACATCCTTGTTATGGACCTTAAATACACACTACACGCAGCCTAAGAAGATGCTGGACAACATCTTTGATGCTGAGCTCACAGCAACGAGAGTAGTAAGCGTCAGACTTGTTGTGGCACATGGTACTACATAGTACTACATAGTACTACATGGTGCTACATGGTACACAATAGTACTAGTGATACAAACATCGATCAAAACAGAATTCCAATTGAAGCCCTGGGCCTCTAAGAAGTGGCTCTTCATGTCGCCCTTCTCCAGCTGCTCTGCCCACTGTGGCCATGCCTCCAGGGCTTCAACGCTCTCCTCACCCTTCCGGCTTCGATTCAAAGGGAAGTTTGGTGTGGTTAGGGACTTCCTCATACTCAGACCTACCTTTCGGGGCTCGGGAGCTTCCAAAATGATCTGTTAGCACACAAAGTGGGCCTCAACCCATGCACAAGCATCACTTGAGCTATAGTCTAAACTCCTAGTATCGCCCTGAATAAGCCCTAGAATACTCCACTATCTCATCCCCCATAGAACTCCCTTTAAGGAGTTTGGACTGTTGCTCATTTTGATCTTTTGAGGCCTGCTGAAGAACCTGGGGATATCGCTTCTCGACCTCTTGCAGCAGCTGCCGAACTTCATCGGCAGAGGCACTGTCAAGCTCCTCTGGGTGGCTGTTAAGGAACTTAACTTAAGTTACCACAATCGGTAGATAGGAATTAAATATGGGTTCCCCAATATAGGAACTTAAAAAAAAGAAGTGTTCATTTCATGTTCCATGTTCTTTTCGCTTTGGGTCTCCATTATAAGGGGATAATATGCTTAAATTAAGTTCCGTAATGTAGACCTCAGATTAATAAACCCCCTCCCCTTAGCAAGGATTATAGTAGGGATCCTTATATTTAGGCCCTTAAAAGGAGGGGGTCTATTAATCATGAGTTTATGGGTTTACATTGACAGCAACCCAAACCCAGTCCTGGCTGAGCCTCTTCAAGCGGGGAGCCAACCTCTGGCTTTCCAGCTGTGCCTTGAGCTCCTTAGCTTCCTGGCTCTTCCTTTCGAGCTTCTTCTTGAGCTTCTTGATCCTGGGTTTAGGGTTTGGGGTTTGGGGTTTAGGGTTTAGGGTTTTAGGGTTTAGGGCTTCTTGATCCTAGGATTTCTTGGGTAATATTGGGTTATATAGGGTTCAGGGCTTCTTGATCCTAGGTTTAGTTTTTGTTTGCTAGCATTACCCACACCCCCCCCCCCCTATTTGCCCGCAGCATCTTCATGTTACGTGCGCATCCAAGGTCAAAGC